GAACATTTTATGCGTGCTCTTCCCGTTTGTGACTTACCAAAGGATTATATATATATATAGCTTGAATATATATATATATAGCTTGAACAGGTTTTTGTTCGACCCAAAAAGGTGGTGCTGTTTATCGCTCCATGCACTGCAGGTGCTAAATTACCATGGAGCCTTGACCTGCTTAGATTACCCCCTTTGGTGACGAGAGGCAACGGGACGGTGCGTTGCACTGTGTGAATTTGGAGAAGTGTATTAATTATAATTCTTCCAGGCAATATTAAAAACTAGCAGTCTGGTAGCGATACAATGTATCCTCGATTTAGCGGACCCCAGTCTAGCGAATAGATTCTTTTAGTGTCGGTGTTCATTTATTAACCTCGGAGGAAAGAGGCAAATAACTTGATCAGTGCTCGAAACCTAGACCTCCTGGTTCTGAGTCCGACGCCCCATTGACTGAGCAACCCTGGTACAGGCGAAGGACAACATTTCAAATTTTCAAATGGTCCTACGAGACAATACAACCGGAAATCGACTGTGATTTACGTACTTCGCAACAGGCGTTACTCGAATGGAGAGAGAAACTTGCATACTCGATATTAAGAACATTTCCATACACATTTGATGTACTGTTCGTCAAACTTGCTTTGATTCTATGCCCGGTTGTAAATTACATTCCTTTTTGACCCTTCCTATGACGTAGATATGTTAAAATTTTATGTTAATGTCTCATATTTTCACGGTAGCGTTAATGTCTATTTGTTGTTTTCCCGATGTTGCTACCGATCGTTATATTAAATTTTAACTAATCTACGTCCCATATCAAGTATCAAGAGGAACGAGTTCATTTTAGGTATAGTCTCTATGACACAAATAAGACAGGCAGGTAGTCCTAATTCATGAAAGTGCTAATGATGAAGTAGTTGTTGTCCCTACAGAAATGACCACACCAAGAATACTTTCATAAAGGGCACATTTACGCTACCTGCAAATAAAAAAGCTTCTTAAGCGGGGGGTGGCGATTGCAAGAAGTTGAATGAGAACGTTGGCATGAGCTATCTATTTCGAACAATGCGTAAAAGAGAAAATTAGAAGAAACAAACCAAAAAGGTGGTTACCAATTTTTGCGAAAAACGGCATGAAGTTACGGCGAGGTGGGAAGGAAGAGTTCTGGAGTAACTGAGGTGCTAGGTGTGGTGTATTCGACTCACGAACAAACAGACGCTGACGAACAGCTACCTGAGAAAATTGCCAAATTAACTCGTGGACCTGCGCATGGTGTAGCAGGTGAAAAACGGAAGCAGAAATTTGTTCAAATGTTTCTCTTGTGGAAAACCTCTGGCCTTGAGTATTGTGTAGTACGGAAATGCTGAATGAAATTTGAGAGTAGCAGGATGTTTGCGACAGCAGTTAGCAGCGTCTGATGTAAATCCTGTGCAAAGCGGTGGGTCAGGTATGTCCATGCTCGGCTGTGGTGTTGGTCAAGTTTCGCTAACCTCAGGCGACGGTGACGGTAGCGACGCGTTTGCCTATTTCGTACTATCCCAGGATTTTGCACTTTGACTTTCATTGTCTTAAATTTAGTGGTCCTTCTGTGATGATTAAAATTGCTCTCGATAGAGCTTCAAACTCATAATCCGTAAGTCTGATGTTCGAGTCCATGGTTACGGCACTCGCTTTCATGATTCCGAAATTGGTAAATCACTATAATTTTGTAGGAAAGAAACTACGGCAGTACACGCTATAGTGGTAATCGCTACAGTATAGCGTTAAAAATAGCAACAGTACAGGAACAGAAACAAATGTGGGACAAGTGCTTAAAAATTTTCATTTTTCTCTCTGATGAACGAACCTGTGCGAAGCTAAAGCAGTCAAAATCGACAGCATTGCGGTCTAATTTTATTGAAGATGGTAGCCTTCTTCATTCCTCAGAATTCGCATCAAAACAAGAGGTTGATCTGTTGGTTTAAGTTGATTTCAAGAGCCAACGCAAACTTATGCCTTTTCATACCGACATCCGGATATTTTATTTACAGACGATAATGATGGTGAACCAAGTAGAACAGATCGTCTCTGATCTTGGCCTAGTTCTGAATCTTTCAAAAAAAAGAATTAGCCGAATATCGATTTACAGTGCAGGACACTCGTTGTTCAGCTCATCGAAAGTGAACTCCTGTATCTGACAAAGGAGGTAAAATATATAGGCGTCATCCTATCCTCAGATGTAAAATAGCATGCTCACACCTCAATGGTTTCGGAAATGTTTGCAGGGCTAGCTGTTGTCTCAAATGTTAAATGATTTCCATGGTACCTCAGAACACAGTGTGAAAATTGGTAGAAGTTTGTATTCCACCCTGAACGTCTATGCTGGGCGAGGAGTTTTTTCATCGTACGTCGTGCCCTCCGCGTAGTATTAGGAACTGGTTACATGGACTATGAAGCAATATTAAAGCGAGTGATTGACCAGATGATGTCCTGCCCAGTGTAACTTGGAGAAAAGTTTTAAACGATAGCTCCCACCCATTTCAAGGAATTGTACAAAAGGTCGCTAGTTCCGTTTTTCTTATGATAGCTGGTGTAATCGATTGGATGATATACAAATATTGCCACGTGCTGAGCTGAGTGCGTGGTTCACCTTTTTTGCACATGGATGCGATAGCTTTTCCCTTCGAGTATTTTATTCGAGTCCGCATAGGTTCGAACAAGGTCTGAGCATTTTCTGCTATTTTCATTTCTCAGTATTTTTCGATTCTAGTCGAATGTTGTCCGTTGCTGAGCTCTTAATTGCTCTGTTCTTAGTCTAGTGAGGTTATTTATTTTTTTAAATTATGTATTAAACTTTGAATATGTTATAGAACAAAATGGAAAACTGGATGGACTGGGTGTCACCTATCACCTTCTTCATTATTTTGGTCATATCTGCGCTGTGTGATCTGAAAGTGTGGTGGTTAATCGAGACGTTCGCTACTTTGGTCTTTGGTGTCAACTTGCTTCTGTTTCCGGAAATGATAGTTGGTTTCCAGGTAATAATTGTTTAATCGTTGATCTCGTCTTTGTTCCTCACTTAATCCGTTTTGTCTGCAAACCTTTGGAGACCAGAGGCACTGCATGTTCTGTTTTGTTTCATCGTTACTAGTTTCTGTTCTCGCAAGTTCATTGACCCAGTACAACTAGATTCAAATTAGTCTTGCGATTCAGCGTTCATGGGCATGAGAAAATCTGCAGTCAAAAGACTGTATCGAAGCCGACATTGCAGACAGTGACTGCTCTCTCGTTTATCAAGGCTTGCACTTTAAGCAGTCTAGTTCAAAGTAGAAAAGAAAATTTTAAAAGAATGCCACGATTAAAATAATAAAAATACTAACGAACGACTCTCCCAAGACCAGCATCCAGATTTGTCCCCATTTTGTTCCTAGTTGCCCATCCGGGAGGGGATCATTTCAGCAGGCCACGGCTGCGTCGTATTTGAGCACCTGCATTTTCGCATCATTTAGTCCTCTAGAGTCACCTCGGACTGATCACGATCGATGTTTCAGGAGGTGGCACTTGCGGACAAAATGATGCGAGGTGCATCTGACACTGGGTATGCAGTACCATGGAACCGTGGTTTACTTAAATGCCCCCTTCCACAGGCAACTAGAAGGAAGGGGGCGGCGCAGTACGCTGTAAAATCTGATCTTGGAGAAGTCGTTATTTAACATACTAGCTCGTACGAACAACTTCTAATGACAAATACTATAATATAAAAAAGTTAAAACCATCTTGAGATATATTATCGGTGAAGATAGATGATGTGACTCTGTGCTATAGTTAAGCCATACCAGAAGAACTGATGTAGTAATTGCGTACTCTGTTTCATAAACAGTTTCTTTAGCCTGTAATTTGACTTTATCTTGACTGATAGTCTAAGGGTTATCCGTTTGTATTCCATGTTGTGTGTCACAATCCCTCAACGCGGAGCCATATTTGACGACTTTGGAGTACTTTCTAAATCTCCTTTTAAATTTTTGAATGTCTTTTCAAAATGAAGAGTGCTGTATGAATTACAGTTAGTGTGACAAACTACGTTATTAGTTTTTTTTTGATAGTCATGAGTTCCAAGGAAGTTTCCAGAGTATAAATGGACGGGTTTAACGTTAAAGTTTATGACATAGGAAGACATGTTTAGAGACCCCAGCACTGACGGTCTTATTCCAATTTTTCGCCTTGGGATGGCAGGCGCAACTAAAATTTGTGGATAACATCTATCACCAAAGATATAGCGTGATTGACGTTTTCACTGACTTCTGTCTGGATTATCCAGAGGTAAAGACTCTTAGAAACTGCCTAGCAGAATTCCGGCCTTTGTTATCCGCCAGATCTGTGGATCACATGTTCAGTTTATTCCAGAAGAAGAACGACTTGTTGGAACAGATGAAAAGTTTCTAGATTTTATGAATGGACAGGACGTCAGTGGTCAAATACGATGTACCAACGAGATAGAGGTGAATCAGAATGTATCATTCCTTAATATGCTTGTGAAAAGGACATCGTCGCCTGAATTTGAGGTTTCCCTTTATCAGAACGCGACACACTCGAACATTTTCTTGTGAGGTCTCCTGTTCCTTTCCGAAACATCGTAAAGAAATTTTTTTACGTGCTTAGGAAATATTCGACATCGCTTCCGTCGTAGATGCTGAAATTCTTCAACGTTACTTCGTACGGAGAATGGGTATTCGTGGAGGACATCGGACAGTGAGGTTTTGCATGCCATCTGCAACTTGATGAAGCCTTGTCAAAACAGACCTATGGCAATTTTGCCGTTCATAGCCCACAGAGTTTCTGAGCCAAACAAAAGATTCCTCAGCGAAATGGCATTTGAAGTATATTAAAAGACCGGCATTAGACTGAGGATGCTTTTATCGAAGAAGTATACCCCCGAGCAACCCGGAGGAGGCGTTGAATTTTGTCGATTGCGGACTGCGATAAAATCTGCGTTAGAAAAATCTTCAGAAATTGAATATCCCGAGTAAAGAACAGTTATTTACAGTCTACTTCGGCAGGTCGACTTCACTAGCATTGTGCAACGTACCCTCTCTGAGGAACACTCCTTCGACAAGCTAATGTGTGTGTAATCGATTAGAACTATCCGTGGCTTGGTCTTTTCATAAAGAAATCCCTGTATCTCTGGAGATAAAACATCGTATGTCGAATGAGCATTCTTGATCTGTTATAATAATTGAAAGATAGGGTGCTACGATAAATCTGATAAAGTTTAAGGCGGCGTGATAAGTGGTTGATGTCAAGCCCAAAATTTTAAGTTATGAATATACTAGTTAAGTTCTCTTATGAATCTGCCACTCACTTTAAACTGATGTATTTTTGTGCATGTAAGGCGGTTTCTTGTCTGATCGGTGCCCCAGAGGTGTGACGTACGTAGCGAGATGCATCGACAGTGACACTTTGACATTGCAGTGTTTGGTGCCCTCAGCCGTGAATCAGCAAACCGTCTACAAAGTTTATGAACCTCCATTGCATTAAAGTAAATATATTTACATTGATTTTTGAACAGCACGGTAAGGAACCACGGATTACGCAATGGTTTAATTATGGAGCAAGGA